ATGTGAAGAGAAGTCTCCTCCACAGACCAACGACCTGAAACCTCCTGGTGATCCACTCAGGCACCCCAGCCCTGAAGGGATGCATCCATGAACAGGTATAAATCTGGCTGCAAAGGAGGAAGCGGGACCCACGCTGACATGTGGGTCCTCTTCAACCACCAATGGAGATTGCCTACAAGAAATGAGGGAATGGTTATAGAAGTATCCAAGGGATCCCAGGAGAGATTCCATTGATCGTGAAGGACCAACTGAAGAAACAGCATGTGGGCCCTACCCAGGGGTATGAGAGGGGGTCATGGAGAACAACATCCCCAAAAGTGATAGATCATCATGAGCTGGAAGTGAAGGAACAGACAGGGCTTGCCGAATGGCCCATTCCATAGAATGGAGCTGGAGAGGAGAAGGTTGGGCTCGACTGATATAAGTATTGAAGAAAAAACCCAAATAGATAAGGTATTGGGTAGGATGAAGGAAAGACTTCTCCAATTTGACCAACCAGCCCATAACACAGCTTCAGCCAGTAGCTGACGAGTGTGACAGGCCAATTCTCATCCAGAATGAGCAAGAAGAAACCAGTCATCCATATAAACATGGAAGCGCAACTCTATGGCATGAATATGCTGAGCAAAGGAGTGAATCACATGACAAAACATGTATGTTGCTGAGGCAAGGCTGAAATATAAGGCATGAAACTGGTACACAACCCCCCAATGGACAAACCAAAGATACGGACATGAACGTTCCACCACAGGAATGTGTAGGTAAGCATTAAAATGTTCACCTTGGTCATCCAAAGATCTGAAGAAAATGCCCACAGAAAAGAAAGGTATGTCTCCATGGTAAAACAAGGAGTGTGAACATACTGATTGAGATGGGATAAATCGATGAGAGGATGCTGGTTTGATAGCCTGTTGTGCAATGAGTTTCTGAACCACATCTGACATATGTTGGCATAACAAGGGATCCAGAGGAGAAGGGAAGGTAATGGGTACACTGGAGAAGGGAGAGAAAGGGGATAATGTATCCCTCTAAGAGCACTCTGTGAACCCAGATATCAGCGAGAAAAGGTCCCCATTGATGAACAAAATTCAAAAGACAAGCCCTACTGGGCTTGAACTGACCATGTAGTCACTGGTACTGTTGTTGGCAGATCGTTCATTGTGGCACTGTGGAAGGATTGGAAGTGGAAGGTCGGGGGACAGGAACCAGTGCTGCACTCGACCCCAACTGTGACAAACGAGCTACCATTTAGTATGGGTAGGATGTTGATGTGCCAAGGACCCCTGCAATTTCAAAGACTTAGGAACTAAGTCAAACACATAATGCCTCAAAAAAACAGTGCCATGCAGAGGTCCCTCAAATAAGCAGCTTGGAGATGGGTCCATGCCAAAATCGAATCACGGCCCAAAAGGTCTTAACAATAAACAAACCATGTTTGAAGCAAGAGGGCCTAAGACGACAGATGAGCCAATGTAGAAGAAGGAGAGGATTTCAGCAGAAAACCCCTCATGGTTCCTGTGAAGAGCCTCTGACAAAAGGTGAAGGGAGGAAAGGTACCTTGACAGGGTCGTGAGTGTGAGACAAAGGTGATAAATTGGGCTTAGATAAGTTGGACAGGGTAATATGGTCCACTCCCCCACCCCTCAAATAGGTAGAACTGACCCCAACAACTATTGGTCGAGAAAGGGAAAGTCCTCCCAATGATAAGCAAGGGCAGACTGACCCAAAGTTCGTGGGGGCAAGGCATACTAACACCTTCTCCCAGTTAAGAAGTAAATTGATCTGCATGAACCCTAATACCGAGGAATGGGTGAAAGACTAAAGAGGTTGTTTCATGTAAGAGGGAAGGTCTAGGGCCATAGGAAACAGGTGTAAGAGACAAAACATCACATACCTGAGAGATGAAGTCTGAAAAGACCAATGACATATGTGCTTAATCATCAGGCAGAGAACAGGAAGGTACGGCAAATATCGGGGGGGTAAACAATCGATCAAAATCTACATCAGCCTGGCCCGGCTCAAAAGGCTCAGAAGGAAGTGGGGCAGAAGTAGGCGAGAGAGAGGTTGGCTCATATACTGCTCAATCTCCTGGCAAATGAGTGATGATATATCCGCCAACGGATTGCCCATGCCTGTGGTTGAAAAGACAGTATCAGACACTGGCAAAGTGCCCAAATTGGTAACTAACTTCAGAATTCATTAGCGGGAAAAAGCAACAAATATGAGGAAGTAATGCTTTATTAAAAATATTAACTCCACAACTGTGTAGTAAATAAAGTTCAGAAAAATATGAAAATTGCAAAATAAAAAATTATTCACTTCAAGGTAACTCAACAATCTAAGAAAGAACATCTGAACTCGACAGCTGCCAAACAAGAAGTGATAGTTTGGTAGTGGCACATAGGGGAAGTCACATGTGTCACGTGATAGTAGTACTCTCCTTTAAATGAAGAGGTGATGCATGATGACTTGCAAAATAGACATGTTGGAACTTTGGATTCCAACAGATGGATTTTAAAGGCTTGTGGCATGTATTTCTGAAAACATTCGCATACTGAGGCAGCACAAAACAAGAAAAGGTAATCTTTTGAGCAGAGAGAGAGTACCTTATAAGAAGAAAAATATTACCCTCTCAAACAAAAATGTTCTACTTACCACAGAAGAGAACACAAAGCTATGAAAATGAAAATGTTCCATGTATATCACAAGAAAGAAAGAAAAACACAATCATGCCAATGAAATATTACATATATCACAAAAAAACTATGCCAATGAAATATTCTATATAACACAAGAAAAACAAAACCATGTCAATGAAAATGTACTATATAACACAAGAAAAAAACAAACTATATCAATGAAAATGTACTATATCCAACAAGAAAGAAAAACTATGCCAATGAAAATATTACATATACAACAAGAAAAACATAAATAAAAAAGTATTTCTAGTACTCACTGTATACTCAACGTGTTTGCACTCAAGTAAAAATATATGATATTCTTCTCTAAGCCTCGTTGAGTCTCACAAACTTGGGTATCCAAAAAGTATTTAAGTACTTTCAAATATGTATTTTAGACACAAAAAATATATCAAGCACTAGAACAAAATTTACTGAAATCAGTATAATATATTCAGTTATATAAGTAAACAGTAAATAGGTAAAAAATTTTTTTATACTGTTCACAGAATAAAATATGATCAAACTCAGCAATTCTTGTCGACTTAAGGATAATAGTGGGTAAAATGTAATATTATGTAGAGAAGAATCTGCTATTTGATTGGTTATTTGTTTCTTTGACTGCAGTT